AAGTTTCATTGAAATGTGATGATTAGTACTTGAGATATCAGTGGAAAAACCGAAAATTGACTAATCATTATGCAAATTAGGTAATTAGTATCCACAGATTATTACCAAAAACTAATCAAAACCTAGCATTAGTTCAGAAAATCTATGTACCAAGTTTCATCAAAATCCAATGAGTGGTTGTTTAGATATCAGTGGAACAATCATGGAACAGCTAAAAATCAGCTAATTATCATGCAAATTAGGTAATTAATATGCACGGATTTTTACCAAAGACTAATCAAATCTGCGCATATGTTCAGAGCAGATCTATGTACCAAGTTTCATCAAAATCCAATGAGTGGTTCTTTAGATATCAGTGGAACAGCTAAAAATTAGCTAATTATCATGCAAATTAGGTAATTAACGAGCATGGATTTTTACCAAAACCTAATCAAATCTGTGCATTGGCCCAGAGCATCTATGCACCAAGTTTCATCAAAAACCGATGTATGGTTCTTGAGATAGCAGTGGAACAGTCGGACACACATACACACATACATACAGACACACTAACTGCAAATACTCCCATTTTGTGCTTCGCACATAGGAGTCAAAAACAGAAAAACGTTTGGTGGGTGGACTGGTGGCTGGCTAACACCCTGTCTAGTACAATAATGACCTGGTGTGGTATCCAGCACAGTCAAGATCTGGCACAATACCTAGCACATTCAAGATCTGGTACAATACCCGGCACAGTAAAGATCTGGTACAATACCCGGCACAGTAAAGATCTGGTACAATACCCGGCACAGTAAAAATCTGCAACAGTATCTGGCACTATGAGGATCTGTTACACTATCTGGTACAGTATCTGGCACTGTGAAGATCTGTTACAGTATCTGGCACTGTGAAGATCTGTTACAGTATCTGGCACTGTAAGGACCTGGTGCAATACTCAGCACTGTAAAAATCTGGCATTCCTGAAGCCAAACTTCACAAAATTTTGCGATTTTTACTGACTCTTGTGAAATTACAGAGGTTTACAGTAGGATTCATTTGAGGCATGAAATTAGAGACACTACATAAAATAAGACTAAAATAAAAAACTTCTACAAAATCACATCCTGAGCTCAGAACCTCAGATCAAAATACAATATTTCAACATTATCATTATGACATGAAAATCATCATAGCTCAGTTGATCAATCAAATGCACAATCTTCATTTCACGTACACCGCAGAAAGCGGTATTGACAGATAGTCTTTTTTGAGAATCAAGTCAAGCAAGTTTCAACAAGTCCAAAGACAAATTGATGTGCAAATACATCCTGCCATGCTTTATCAATATACCAATTGAGTGTTCAAGAAATAGTCGAGGTCACTAATAATAAAACAAAATGGCCACGGATGGTGACTTAACTTCCAAGGAGTTGTTGCACTGCGTCAAAGCCAGAACTAAAAATCCAATGCAAAGATCCTCACCTGCAGATTTATAACTCTTGTTCTCACAAACTGATACTGATAGGATAATTTCCTTGCTCTAACCAAAGCCTGAAATCTCAAGTATCCACGTCTCATCTAAGAATAGAAAAAAGAAGCGAATTACAATAAAATACACAGTATGGAACTACAAGGTCAGTTGCATAGAGGTGACAGTGAACGCAACCATTAGAGTAATATCCCAGTTCTACTCACCGCAAGGTATCTCTTTTTCTGGGCATATCCACGCCAGAATTTCTGTATTGTGACCGAGTCTCTCTTCATTTTCAAGAATTTCCTTCTATAATGCCATCCCCTGACAACTTTCTGAATGATGATGATCTTGGCAGACAACGCTTTATCCCTCACAGTTTCCAAAATCAAATCATGTGCATCCTGAAAATAATTCAACGCAAATGTTCACAGGAAATAAATACTACAATAGCTTGATACAATGATGGTTTTTTGTTAGACTTGCTTTTGGATTGAATGTGATTTACATATGCTCCTGTTGATAAGAGTGACTTACATGTGGTGGTGTGTGGATGTAAGCTGCAATCATGTGGAGTGAGACTTGCATGTGGTATTTATATGAAGAATTATGCCATGCATGTGAATATTTAAATGATTTGCATGTGGCAATGTGGATGTAAACAGCAATCATGTGGAATGAGATTTACATGGGGTATTTATATGAGGGAATTATGCCATGCATGTGAATATTTAAATGATTTGCATGTGGCAATGTGCAGATATAAGCACCAATCATGTGGAGCAGATAATTACATTATCTAAAGGACATAGTAACAGATTTACACATGGGAAACAACAACTCCATATAAAGTTCTACAAAATATCAGTATAATGAAAATAAGTATAATGTAATACGAAACTCAATTTATGAAAGTATGAAAAGTTGCCAGACACCTTACCTTGAGAAATACTTTGTGAAAACCGATCTGCCAATCCTGTGTAGTTAGTACAGCTTTACATATTTTGGCAGAAGCCTGTTTACAGTCCTCTTTCTGTGATGGCATTATTCCAGGAACTAACATCCTGTAGCGATCAACAAAGTCTCGGAAGGCATGTCTGATTGGGTAACCAGCGCGTCGAATCCTACAAGGCAGAGAAACTCCAAACCCTGAACACTCCATCACCAGAACAGTTTGTCTACCAACTATTTGGAGACGAGTGCACTCAAACTGACCACACTGACAGAGTTTAGCTTTGAGATGATGGATGTGAATATTTTTTAACATCATAGTTTTACGTTATTACATGTACATGATAATGTACATTCAAGACCTCTATTTGCAAGTATACACTGATTTTGATGAAAAAAGCCCCCAAATTTAATTAAAAACAAAATTCTGATGGTGGTGATTTATAGCAATAATAATGAATCTCCTCAAAGGCGTCATATTGGATTTGAAGAAAGTTTTAGACACGATAATGTATTTGGCTTTGCATCGTTCACATTATCTTGCCATAGAACCTTCTCATCCAATATGACACTGTGGACAAGGTTATCTGACGTACGTATGTAGCCATGTGTACATTTCTTTTTTCCATGTTTATAATTTGAAGAGCATAAAAATCTTGAAAATTTTGTCTTTTACCATGTCACCATCTTTGTTTATTCACTTCAATTGGAGATTTATATCCGTTTCAAACTTTGTACAACATATCCCCCGTCAATGATAGCAGTCATGTATGCATGCAATGAAGAGCATGATGGGATAGTGATGAGAGGGAGAATGTTCTTAGTTCACCCTGGGTAATTCAGTCATGCATAACAACTTGGATTTATAACAGTTATTACATGATTAACTAAATTAGAGGCGAGAAATTTCTATAATTATGTGCCGAATTGAAAAGAATATCTACAGTAATTATAAAGTAGAAGAGAAAGTTGAAGTTTAATCGGCATTGATTTTCAAGTTGCTTGCCCTTAGTTTAATCAACCCTTGAAATTGAGCATGTTAGTTCAGATCCCTTTTTTATTTAGTATTTTTAATATTTAGTCATGTAATTTACAAGTGACACTGCGACAAGAGGGTTAGGGCGTAACAAAGAAATGGGACATCAAATTGTGCGTTACCCAGGTTACCAGAATAAATTACTTGTGTTCAGATACATCGGGTAATTCAAATGCTGGTTACTGATTAGATAACTCCACAAAATGGTGTCATGGCAACATGAGTGAGTGCCAAGATGAGTGATCTCAGCATGAAGTAGAAAAACTGTTAGTGTTTTTGAAATTCATATTTGAGAGAGACTCACTTGATCGTCTCCATCATACCAGAGTAGCGTAACTGACGAGCTACCAACTCTCGTTCAAACATCTATATAAACAAATAGCAATAAACAACGAGTGAACACAACTCAACACAACATGTAAACAGTGGAATATCGATAAAGGATATTAGGGAATGTCTATCCCTTTTACACATGAAAACAGCAGCAAACTTATTTTTAAATGCATAATAATTTATAAGAATTTTAATATCCTAATTATATATTAAACAGTTTTAAAGTTGGTTATTAATGGAATATAATAGATATTTCACAAGTAGCTATGGTGAAAATTTATGTACACAGTGACAACAAAAGCACAAACTAAACCCGATCTTCACATACATGAAAGGTCTCCATAATTTGGAAGCGAATTTTTGTATTCATTTCTGATGATACACTACACTACACTCCATCACTTGCACTATAATTAAAAGAAATCGTATATATTCGATAACGTTCACCATGAGATATAGCTGCAACTGTAAGAAGATACTTTTGATGACGGCTAGCAAGTTTTACTTACGTTTGGCCTCTTGAACTCATTTGGTTTAATACACCGGACAAAAAATGGCTGACATGTACTGAGAGTAGTCATGAGTTTATCCAGAGACTTTTTAAACTGTGCTCCCAGCGTGGGGGACTTCTTCCTTGTGTCGGCACTCATAGTGATTTCATATTCAAACAGTTTAAGTAGAAATTGACTTTTACTCGTAGCTACCAAATGTAGCAAGTCTGTGTTGAATGTATCCCTATTCTTCTCCAAGAAGCCTGTTAAGATGAGTGGACATGTAATGTTTAATGCATTCTCAAATAACCAATATTTTTAAATAATTTTGGTGAAGTTAATAAACTGAGCAAATTTAGCCCATTGTCACTTAAAGCAGGGGAGTCATCACCTGCGCATGCGTCAGATGGCCATAGCGTGTCACTGTTTACAAACAAGCACCTATGCATGAGCATTTGCGTTTTTAGCGCATGTTATCGTCGCTTGGGACTCAATTCCCACGCATGCGCAGGTGACGACCCTTCCACGTTAACATGTAAGACACTGCAGAACAGGCATATATGTATGTACAAGAAATTGAATACTATTTATAATTTCTGATATGAAGTACCAAGCCAAAGAATTCATCAAATGCGAAGACATTTTGGGATTTATTTCCACGCTTAATAATATGCTATATGCATTTGATAAGGGTCAAATTTAATGAAGTAAGGGCATCTCAATGACATATTGCTAGATTGACTTTCAACATTGAACTATGGGAAAAAAGAAATTCAAGTTGAAAATCAAATCAATTAATTTTAGTTTGGCGGTTGGTCTGCGCTAGCTTCCATGTATTACACAATGTCTTGCAGTAAAAAAAAAAAAAATCACCTATCAAGCCACAGATCCCGAACAAACTTGTTAGTTTATGACTCTTTACAATACATGTATACCCACCTCTTGATTCATATGACACTGGTCCAGCAAAATGATTGATCCCAAAGGTGCTACTTACAGCAGATTTTGCTTTGATAAAATGTGGATGTCTGCCATGTTGATTTATCAGTTTACTCAACATTGTTTTGTCAGTACCCTGGAGATAGAATCAAAACTCTGTGAGAAAAAATATGACAATACCACCTAGAGTGGTTGGAATTGTCAGTAAAGCCACCTAGCCAGGTAAAAATGAACAACCCCACTATTACATTAAGACAGCAATGTTGTACAAAGATGGCAACGTTGTACAAAGACGACAATGCCACACAAAGACGGCAATGCCGCACAAAGACGGCAATGTTGTACAAAGACGACAATGTCGTACAAAGACGGCAATGTCGTACAAAGACTGCAATGTCGTA